ATTAATATTTAAGAGATACAATATAGTATATAGATAATGATAATGTAAGTATAATGTCACATAAAATATTTAAATACTGAATTAATCAATAACTAAAATGATTATTTGATAACTTATTATCCTATAACTTGTAAATTATTAACTTATTATAATAAGTAATTATACGATAACTAAAGTGTACATTTAGTAAATATTATCAACTTAATGTTATTAAGTATTAATAAATTTCAATGTTATGCCATTGTTATATCACATGTTTAATAAAACAATTTATTTATACTAGGGGTTTTGTAGAATTTGATAGACTTATCAACATTGTATAATTGTAATAAAATATTTATCAACATAATGTATTATTGATATTTAAGTCCATGTTGGCTTTAATGTACTAGAGTTTAGTGCGGATAAGTTTAATAAATAAGTGTGTGAATTACAAGTTATTAATTCGACCTTGGTAAATCTGGTAAATTGGATCTTGTAAATATGGTACAGTTTTATTTTATTTTATTTAACACTTACATTTTAATTTTTATCTATTCTAATTTGTAAGTTTATTAAATAAAATTGTTAATTTTGTGATTAATATATTTTTATAAACGATTATATTAAAAAAGTAATTAATTGAATATTAATTAATTTTCAAAACAATTAAAATTGTTTTTAATGTAAAGTTACTTAGCTTTTTATTATCAACTGTACTTAATAATTTCATAATCATATTTATATTTTGTATATTTAAAAAAATCAGTTAATTGCCTCTAACCTTGGACAATAAGTATAAAAGTCGCGATTGTATATACTTATTTTATAGCTGTTTTTACCATTACAATATTTAGTGCATTAAGTTAATTCACATCGTATTTAACTTGTAATTGTAAAAATGTTTTTGCCAACAAAATTAATATCACTATTAGTGGCCGATATTCGCACCACTATAATATCTCTAATTATAGGCTATATTGCATATAAATTAGCAAGGTTCTATTATTTCCGTTCTAAACTGCCTCCCGGGCCAAACCCGTGGCCAATCATCGGCAATATATTACGTGAGTAAACGATATTAAATGCCATTTGTTTAATATTTAAAACTTTGAAACAGTATTCAAACGGAAAGATCATTGGGATGTAGTGTTCAGAGAACTGACCAAACAATACGGCCCGGTATTCACCTTCTGGTTCTTCAATAGACCACTAGTGGTCGTGACGGACATCGAGACGGCCAGAGAGGCCTTTCGGAAGAATGACTTCGCCGGCAGAGACATAGCATATGTTGGTAAATATGTTTAAAATATAATTTTAATTAAATAAAATGTAATAAAATAAAACCCATCTAGATACATAGTTAAATAATTATCATTATTTTGAATAGCGTCTCAATTTTCAAATGAAAAGCAATCGGACGTAATATTTGCCGATTACGGCCACAAATGGGAGGCATTGAGACGAGTGGCACATTCGGCCGTACAGTATGTCTCAGCAGTCGTTAATTAGAAAATGTTAATAATTAATTGTTTTAAATTTAATAAAATTAGAAAATATTCAACAAATGATAGACTTATTTCAGTGGCCGCCGATTCAGTCGATCGTACGGTTAAAGCAATGATTGCGAGGGAAGGAGTGGGCAATGCTTTTGATCCAAATAATTACATTTACCTAACGTTTCTCAACATATTAGCCACCAGTGCTTTTGGCATTAGGTTTGTTATATTGAATATTATATATATCCTTAATCTTTGCAATTAATTGTTTTAAATATTATAAAGTTATGACTATGAAGACAAAGAATTTAAATTTCTTAAATACGCTGTGAGTGACTTCGGGAAAGAAGTCGGCAGTCGTTTTTTCTTATGGGAATTCTCGCCATTAATACGATTATTAGACCGAAAAATGGTTCAAAAACATCAGAGACTTATTAAAGAATTGATTGATTTGGGAAGAAATAAGTTTGTAAAACATTACGACGACTATAACGAGTCAATTGAGAGAGACTTTTGCGATGCACTCATCAGTGCTAAGAATGACGCCCTCAGAGACGGCNGCTAAGAATGACGCCCTCAGAGACGGCAAAGAGTCGGCCCCTTATCTCACGGACGCCAACCTCGGGATGACTGTATTAGATCTGTTTCTCGCCGGAACCGATACCTCTCAGCAGACATTTCAATGGATTCTACTTCTGATGACATACTATCCAGAAATGCAGAAAAAGTTGAGGCAAGAGATTGAGTCCCAAATCGGAGACCGAATGCCAACACATGAGGACAGGAATCGATGCCATTATGTCATGGCTTTTATCGCAGAGACACTGAGATTCAGAAATATTGTACCCCAGGGTTTGCCTCATAAAGCTGTTGTCAGGAGTACTATCGGTAAGAATTAGATAAATATTTTTAAAATAATATTTAAAAATAAAAAGTAAAATATAATTTTTTGACATACTTTTAGGTGATTACACAATCCCTGAGAATTTGGGAATTCTTGTATATCAGGGAATCATATGTTGTAATGACAAGGATTGGCAAAACGCAGAAATATTCAAACCCGAGAGGTTTTTGGATAGTGAGGGACAGTATTTAGTTACCAAACCTAAAGCCTATATACCCTTCGGTGTGGGCCGTCGGGTCTGTGCGGGAGAGAAGTTAGCCATCGCTGACCTGTTCCTGGTTTTGGTCCGATTTCTTCAGTCCACACAAGACTATGAGTTAGTCCTCGACAGCCATAACGGCATTGAAGTCGATCCCAATAAATCTGATGCTTACAATCCATGTGATTATAAAATAGCATTAAAACAAAAGTAGTTATTATAATAAATGTAATTTAATCAATAAATTAAATACGATTTTGAATACAAAATTACTGATATATCAAATTTATGTTAATTCAAAAAATATTATGTATGTATGCTCTATATTTTAATCAGAATTTTTCAAACTCCAGTTGGGTCCTAATACAACAAAATAATACGTGGTTAATATTAAATAATGTATATTAATTTTTAATTAAATATTAAATGTTTAATAGTGTAATTTATAAATATAAAAATGAACAAATTAAAATAAAGAAAAAATTATTAATTAATAATAAAAAGTACCAGATTATATAAAAACTTATATCATTAATCACTAGTTAATCTCATGATTATAATTAATGAAGCTAAAAATGTTTTGAATTATTCCACCATGCATAGTTTGACGCCAAATAAACTTTTAATAAAAATAAAGCACTGATAACACAATAAATATAAATATAAATAAGACAACAAATTAAAATCTTTCCACAAAATCAAATGAATCAAAAGATTTTTATCAATATAAACAATAAAATCAATCAAAAAATGTGTTCACTTATAGCTAAACCATACATGGATTGTATTGACGGCACCGACACGTGTATGCATAGAAAAAATGTATATAAACCGAAACAATTCAATTACAAAAATTAATTGTAATTAAAAATAATCAAAAGTTATTTTGACACAAAAAAACTTTCACTCAAAAACAATGCAGTTGTTTATCGTCGCAACATTGATGGCAGTGGCGGCCGCACAACAGGCCTCGGTCTCCGTCCCGGCGCCCAATCCTATTAGCGGTTTGTTCGGTGGCTTCACTGGCCTATTGAGCAACGGTTTGAATACCGTTGAAAATATGGCCCAACAGGGGATCAACGCAGGGATGGGAGCACTCGAAGGGGTCGAGACGGTTGGCCAGAACGCGCTAAACGCTGGCCTCAACGCCGGCACAGGTCTGGCGAGCGCTGGTATGAATACTGTGGGACAAGTGGCCACTTTGGCCCAGAATATGGGTCAGGAGGCTGTCAAAGATGTGACCGGACTCGCCGGTAGTGCCGCTAATATTGGAAAGGGTGTTGTGGGCGATGTGATGGGTGCCGTCACCCCATTGGCCGGCGTCGCCACCGACGCTGTCAACCAGGTTCAAAACATCCCTCAACAGGCCATCGCCGCCGGCACTGGTCTCTTGAACACCGCTCAAGGGGTTGGCAAACAGGTTATGGGCACCGTTGCCAACACTGTCGGTCAACTGCCCGGCGCTATTAATGGTGTGGTCGGACGGGTGGAGAGCACCGCCCAGAACGCCATGAACACCGCTACAGGAGCTGTTGCCCCTGCTTTGGGACAAACCCAGACTGCAGTAAACGGTGCCCTTAATGGCGCGACCGGCGCTCTCGGTAATGTTGCCGGACGGGTCCAGTCTACAGTTGGTGGTGCCGTCGACACGGCTACCGGTGTTGCCAGCGATGCTGTCAAACAGGTCCACAATACTCTCGGATCAGTGACCGGCGCTCTGCCCACTGGAACCGCTTCTATCAATGTTTAAACAACTAAAACTGATCGACCGATTAATAGATGGTAAATATATTTTGCCTCTTTATGTCAAATTATATTCAATGTAACAAAATTGTAAAATAAAATTATAATTATTATTTAAAATTGGTGTAAAAATTTCTTAATCCATTATGTTTCAACCAATTATAGAACTAGCATAGAATTAAGCAAAAAACTGATTATTATAATAAATTACTCTGTGTGTTTTGTTGTTATAAAACTTATTTTCAATAGCAGCACTTAAGGAATTTGGTAATTTTAAATTAGTATAATTGTATTCCAAAAAGTATATTTGAGAATTATTGAAATCCTACATCAAATTGTTAAAATTATATTTAATCCTTGTTCAAATGTGCAGAACATTTATATACTTTATAACATTATTAATAAGTTAAATACCCTAGTCTTATAAACCTTGATATAAATTAATTTATATTTAAAATGAAAATTTAACAAAATAACAAATTCAAACATATTAGTAAAAATTATTAAATTTCGACAATAATCTTGGTACTCAGTTGGCTTTGCATTATATTGCAACTAATAACTTTAGTTATTATATAAAATAGATGTGAAAGTATCGAGGTCTAGATCCAGAATGCTTATACAATTGTTATATTATGAGCTTTTATGCCATGAATACTGTATGTCATTCACATTTAAAATATGGTGAGTTGTGCAACTTTAGCAAGCTTAAATTAATCATATTTGAAACATGTAGTTGTTTTAACGACTACAATATATTGTTACTTCAATACTTTAACCAGAATAGTGGTAAAATTAGTTATAAGTTAAATTGTGTGCTGGTCAAACATTACAAACCTTGATAAAACCTTGTATTAACCATATGCTAAATGAAAAATTATTAAAATAACTAATTGTAAAATATTAATTATGAAATGTTGTCAATATAACCACGTCAACTTTATGCTTACGACATATAGCCCAAAATCTACCTTGGTACAAAGAAAAATTAATTTCGTGTTTAAAATAATTAAATTATTCAATGATGACATAATTATTATAACAAAACCATTAAGGTGGTAAAGGATTATAATTTATAATTAAAAATTTTTAACATTTTTGTTATGATAAAATTTATACTATTTACTTATTAAATTATTTTGCGTAACTATAATAATTGGGAGTTTGAGTTTAAGTGAGATTTAGATCCAACAGATTCTTAGATAGATTGGATCAGTATATGACTAGACGTCCCAAAGCATTCATACCCTTCGGTGTGGACCGTCGTGTCTGTGCGGGAGAGAAGTTAGCCATCGCTGACCTGTTCCTGGTTTTGGTCCGATTTCTTCAGTCCACACAAGACTATGAGTTAGTCTTCGACAGCCATAATGGCATTGAAGCCGATCTAAACAGAACTGATGGTTATAATCAATGCAATTATAAAATAGCAGTAAAACTGCAGTAATTAATGTTATAAATTACAATGAAATTCAATTAATATATTAATAAAATTATGAATACAAAATTAATGATATACAATAACATACATTATATTAATTTAATATGTTTGTTAATTAATTGTGTAATTCTTCTTTTTAAATCAAGATCATTTAAACTCCATATGGATCGTTTATTTTTATTTAAAATTATACTTTATATGTCTTATATTAAAGTATAATCATTAAATTAATATTATTAATTAATTAAAATATAACGTAATATTAAAACTTATTTAAAATATATGATCAATCATTAATTGATCCCATGATAGTAATTAATTAGTTAGTGCTAACTAAATATGTTTTGAATTAACTTAAATTTATTAAAGAGGCCCAGTTTGACGCCAAATTGATCTTTCATAATCATAAACACTAAAGTACTGCAAAATCAAAAATAAAACAATTAATAAAAATCATAAAAAGACAAAAATAAAAATGTGTCCATAAAATCAAATAAATCACAAGATTTTTATCGAGAAAAACAAAAAAATCAATCAAAAAATACGTTCACTTATACTTATATTGTGTAATGCATTGCATTGACGGCATCGACACTACGTGTAGACGTGTTTGGATAAGAAAAGGGTATAAAAACCGATACAATAAACATAAAAAAATCAATTCAATTACAAAATTATTTGTAATTAAAAATAATCAAAAGTAATTTTGATCCAAAAAACTTTCGCTCAACAAAAACAATGAAACTATTGATCGTCGCAACACTGGTGGCAGTGGTGGCCGCGCAACGGGCCTCGGTCTCGGTCCCGGCGCCCGCAGTCAATCAATTCAAAGATAGTCTATTTGGAATATTAACCCAAGCGTTCCATGACATCGAAAACATTCGCAAAAACATCGGCTTGTTCAAAGCTGGCCCGGCTTTGGTGGCCACTGGCCGCGATACTGTCAAACAAGTGGGCGGTTTGGTTCAGAATATCGGTAAAGAGGCCGTGAATGATGCCGTGAAACTCGTCGGTGACGTAACCAATATTGGAAAGCAGGCGA